GTTCGAATGTTCAAAATCGATTCGAATCGAATGTAATCGCGCGATACAATCGATTATTTTGGCTCTTTGCAAAAATATTCATTCCTTTGTTGTTATCATTGTTTTTTGTTTCGATTATTATCGATGATAATTGCGTTAAATTGTTAACACTTTTACTTTTCTTTTTTGTTTGTTTATTTAACAATCTTTTAAATCTGTAGAAAATCGGGAACACGAAACAATTCGATTTGATCTAATAATCATCATCATCGATGATCGTTGTGGTAAAAGTCAATAAATGATGTAAGCCAAATAATCACTTGAAAATAATCGATTGCCAAAAATAATCATCCAGATAAAATTTTTCTAAATTTAGTTACTAAATCTCTGTGTGATTAGATTAGATTTTCAATGATCGAATGACATTATCCATACCATTTAATCGTTTGCCTGTTGGTATTTTTGCTTTGATTGGTTACAGATTCCGAAACAAACCAATTTTGAATTGATTATCGATAATCGAAGAAAAAAACATGTAATTTGAAGAAAATTTTTCTGTTTCATTAATCAAATATTGATTTTCTATTTTTTTTTCTCTCGAAAAATTTCAATTTTGTAGATATACTTTTTTTTCGGTGATTGCCCGAAGCGAAACTTGATGTAATAAAATCGGGAAGCAAGAAGCAGAAGACATAACGGTAATACCCTTAAAAAATTTTATAAAATGAAAATTACAATGTTTTTTTTTCAATTCTATCCGTGAAATCCCCGTTTAACCCTGTGTTGGCAATGTAGGAAAAAAAAGATCAATAGACCCATCGATGTCATCAGATAAAAATGAATTTGATTGATGAGATTTGTTGTTATTTGTAATTGGCAATCTTGTAAGTCAAAATCAAAAAAAAAAAACGGAAAACAAACAAATTCGATAACATCATTTATGAACAACTTTTCATTTCCGAAAAAAGTGAGCGGAAATCGATTTTTGTTGTTATTGTTTTTTTTCATCGTCTTTTCCGATTTGTTTATTTTGATTTTCGATTTTGTTGTTTTCGATCGCATTCTCAATTGTATTATACGAGATTCATCAAACAAATGATAATGATGATTGATGGATCGAATATGTTTTTTCATTCATTCGCAATGACATAGATATACGAAACATTCGAAGTAATATTCGTTATGTTTTCTATCAACCAACCAAACAACATTACATGTTCAATTTGTTTATTTGAAAAAAATGTTTCAAGTTTTTTTTCCATACAATTTCCCCCCTTTTTTGATATATCGAAATATTTTTGAAAGTAATTTTGTTTCCCGAAAATCCAAATCTAATATAATGATGATTGTGATGATGATACTATTTATGGTTACA